AGGCACCTACGCAAGTTCCAAACCATGATAAATTATTCGATGCGCAAACTACATTATGGCCCTCTGACATTGCGGTGAACCAACGTGCGCCTGCACAGTTGCAGCTTGACGATTGCATATACCCTTCTCCCTGGGGATCACTGTAGTCTTCTCTCTCTCAGTGGATGTCAGTCAGATGGCATGCTAGAGAATTAACTGTAAAGTGGCGCCAGGAGCCCATAATGGGCTCCTGGTGGCGCTCAACTAATCGGTTGCTCTTTCCTATGTGCACGTACTGTGTGCTCGGTTATTTATTGCTTGAACCACACGAGAATCTATAAATATTGACGCCGCAAGCACAAGTTAAGACCGTGGTAGGACTCCCCTACTTTGCTTTATACTGGCTATATACAGCATATTGCAATAGAATTGCAGAATGAGGATATTTCCAAACTGACTGAATCCAGGACAAACAGAGGAAGTGGGAGAAATGTCGAACTGCTACCAGCAATAAAAAAGAACAGCGCAAACAATAAAGTTTGACCCTAGGCCTAGCCCTAAGGGGAGGAGCGGGGGTTGAAGGGGAGGGGAGAGTTAGTTACTGAGATGATAAAGAGATTTCTTTTTTGTTTCGAAATTTTTCATTACGGGTTTTCTTCGAGGATAGGAAAATTTGGAAAATATAAGAAATATATTTAGACATTTTTGGTAGCTTGATTTAAGTAGGAATTTTAAAGGGTATTCCAAACAATCTGATTGGATCTGATTGGTGTAGTACCGCGCGCGTACAATGCTAGCCGCGCGGTTCAGACTGTCAGATGCAAAAAAGATAAATTCAACAGATGGTATGATGAATAAACCAACCACAAACATTTACTTTATATTTTTTGGTTTGCAAAATCATTTAATCCTTCACGGAAAACTTTCAGGGCTCGGAAATTCTAGTCCTACGATTTTTTTGGTTTCGTCGGGAATCCGACAAGTCTGTGATGGTAAAACTGCATGGAAAAAAATATTGATATTGTCGGTTCATTCAATGGTATAACCACAACATGTAAGTTAATGACAGGAATTTTTTTTCACAACTCAGAAATAATCGCCGTGTGTCATGTTTACGTAACGCAATCAAGTTTAAAACGACCCATTTACGTGACTCGTGACATATCGAGCGCGCGGGAATTTCGCTGTGGTTTTTCTCAGTTTCATGGCGGAAATGAAGTCAAACAAAGACACTTAAGGTACAAACTATCAAATTGTAGACCTGATTATATACTACACAGGATAGATATTTCGTGTGCTTTTGAAAACTTCGTTGTTTCGTGATAAGACTCTGATAAGCACTTGACACACATGTTTACATTGGTGAGGCGAGAGTTCAAATACTGCACCTGAAGAATAAGAGTTCTTTACGGCTGACAAAATGCATGAAACTTTCCATCTAATGTATATGAAGCATCTCTGTATCACTGTGAGACTTGCGATTGCCAAAATTAAACGTATTTTGGCTGAAACATTTGTTGGAGAATTGATTTATGTCGCTCCGAACCTCTTAACTTTCAAGTCAGAAAGGTCAAATTACTCTCAAGTGCGCCGTGAATTTTGCGTTCCCAAAAACTCCTTTTTATATGTTGCCCAGAGTTTTGAAAGCATATTTTGAAAGTTTAGAGATTGCTTTTTAATTTGAAATGTCTTTTTCTGTTAGAAATCATGTATTGGATGTAATTTTGGGCCTTAGAAGTTTGACAATATTTTGCTCGCGTAAAATCCTTAAAATTTTGTAAGTATTTAAAAATCCATAAAATATTTCAGTTAAAATCAATTCAAGAACATAACCACAAAATATGTGTATTAAAACCCTTTTAATACGATAAGAAACCTTTTGGGTTGGATGATTTTTGAATTCGATTGAAATCGCGTCTTTTCGTAGGCCGGTCTTAGAGGTATGTTGTCGAAAAATTCCGAAAACTTAAGCCAAAGTTCACGATCGATCGATACGATCCAGGATAAACAAGTCAAAAATCCTCGATTGCTAAGGTAATTCGTCTCCCATGATATTAATAGGTAATCAAATGGTATACACATGATTACACATACCAATTACATAGACTGAGATGACAAAATATAAAGTATGGTACATGTAACAATAAGTATAAAAATAATATCAGACATGTGAAGAAAGATAACTATTTACTACAAGATTTATAACTAATAATTCATATACTTTTTTCTTCAATTTCGTTTTGAATAAGTGGAGAGAATTAGATTCATTAATATCATTTTCTATAGAGTTATAATAAGTAGGTCCTTGGAAACTGACAGAAAATTTACGAAGGTTTGTTCTACAAAAAGGAAGGTGAGAATCGTTCGCGTATCTATTGGCATAGCTATGGACTTGTTTGTTGAAAGAAAAGTAATTGTTGAACTTTGAAGGCAAAAGAGAATGGTTAAGAGAAAACATAAGTTTACCCAATTCTAGTTATCTAATATCGGAAAGTTTTAGTAGCTCTAATTCTTTAAAAATAGGGTCTGAATGAGAATCGAAAGTTGATTTAGAAATAATTCTGATAACTCGCTTTTGCAAAGAGACAAGACGGTGAAGATTGGTTTTGTACGTAGAACCCCAATACAATAATACAATTAAACTTAAACCAAGTGGATAATTTATTACGTTCGGAATTGAGTGAGGCTGACAGGTAGACAGGATCTTTATGGGCAAAAATAAATTAGTATCATCAGCGAATAAAATCGGCTCGACGAGCGTCGATACGTTATTTAAATCGTTAATATAGAGCAAGAAAAACAAGGGGCCCAAAATGGATCCCTGGGGGACACCACAGCAGATAGTTTGTGGAGAGGAGCATTGACCGTGAAATTAAACGAATTGCAACCTGTTGGAGAGGTAGCTTCTAACCCAGTCCAGAGCCACGCCGCGTATACCATAGTGTTCGAGTTTGTCAAGCAGAATATTATGATCGACGGTATCAAAGGCCTTATAAAGATCAAGGAAAACGCCAACGGCATGTTCATTGCGATCAAGAGCAAGGGAGATTTTTTCATGTAGGTCAATCAATGCTAACGAAGTTGAATGATTTTTCCTGAAGCCAAATTGATTATCACATAGAATTTCTAGTTTACTTAAATAATTATAAAGACGGTTATAAACAACCTTTTTCAAGAAACTTAGAAAAGCTAGGGAGAATCGAGATCGGTTTATAGTTCGTAAAGAGTGATCGATCACCGGCTTTAAAGAGTGGTATCACGCGAGCAATTTTCATTTGGTCGAGAATTATGCCATGAGTGATAGATAAATTGATTATTTGAGCTAAAGGTTCGGCTATAATTTGAATTGACTGTTTTATGATGGAAATGGGAATTCTATCATGGCCAGCTGCTTTACCTGATCGAAAAGCATTGGAAATTTCCGATAGCTCATTTGGAGTCACTGGATCAAAAAACACCGATTGACAAAAGTGACCAGAGAGAAAACTGCGGTGAGAGACAGAGTAGTGAATTTCTTTGGCTAGATTAGGTCCGATACTAGAAAAATAATTACAGAATCTATTAGCGATGTCTACTGGATCCGTAATTTCTTGGTTGTCAACTTTAAAGATGGAATTGATTTTAAACACTTTCTTTTTTGTCCTGATAATTTCGTTTAGAACTCTCCATGTAGCTTTGGCATTTGATTTAGAAGCATCGATTTTCTTCGTAATATATACGTTTAGCAATTCTTAATGAGTGATTCAATTTGTTTTTGTAATTTTTATAACGAATTTCATAATGCGAAGATTGATTAGTGAGATACTGAGTATATAACTTATTTTTCGTTCTTATCGACTTCAGAAAACCTTTCGATAACCAAGGCATACTCAAACGGTAATTGCTCACCTTAGTTTTTTTTTTTAAGGAAAACATGAGTCATATGCCGTAGAGTATTGTTTGAAAAAGCTGTTATAGGCATTATTTGGATCATCCAGAGTGGCATACTGAGACCAGTCAATTCTCTCCAAATGCGTTAGAAACTTAGTTGTGTTGACTTGATTTACATCTCGAACAAAAACAGTTTCATTAGGTGTTGAGATTGAGGCGTCGAAATGAATAGAAAATATAGGCAGATGGTCAAGAAATGTCAGTGAAAAACAGTCCACTCCTAGATCTATCGAAAATTTGGTTGACATTCCACAATGCTTTTTTAAAAGAGTCAACTGAGTCCCTTTGCCTTGCAGGCAAAGATAAGCTGTTCCATGCTTTGCAAGTTGTTACGGTAAAAGTTCTGCCTCCTTCTGTTTCGCCATTATACCTCGGAGAGGTTAGGTTAAAATTACAGTACCTGGTTTGTCTACTGTGGATGTTACTGTTTAATTTAAGTAGATCGTTTAGATAAACTGGGACGTCACCTTGTAATCGCTTATAAGCAACGATACATTTAGATACTAAAGCCTCTTTATAAAAAGGCAACCATTTCAGCCGATTAAACAAGGGAACTGATGGTGCTAGAGGGGGGCATTCAGGATTACTCTAGCTGCTCGTTTTTGGAGCTTCAGGACCCGCCCAAGGCTTTCCTTATCACAATTAGTCCAGGGGACACTTGCATAATTAATCACTGGCCTGGTCAAAGCATTGTAATAAAGTAATCTTTGTTTAAGGGGCAGATAATTCATAATTTTCTTTAACAAGCCGATGCGCTGTGAAACTGTCTTACAAACAGTCGTAATATGCTCAGAGAAAGATAGCTCTTCATCAATCTCAAGACCTAGTAGCTTAACGTTCATAACGTTAGTTAACAAACTGCCATTGCAAGTAATCTCAGGGTTATTGTCTATTTTGGTCGAGAGTCGCGTTCCCTTCACGGTGAGGACCTTGGCCTTTTTTTCGTTGAGTGGAAGCCTTTTGGCCAATGCCCAGTTAAAAACTTCTGATACAGATGTATTAAGAGATTCCTGCAGTCCTCCCATGCTCCCACAATCTGCTGACGATGTGATTGTAGTATCGTCTGCATAAAGATCGATTTCAGAGGAGCTGACATGAAGTGGCAGGTCATTAATAAAAACTGTGAAAAACAAGGGGCCTAGTATACTGACCAGCTACAGTTTTAAGTGTTTTTGTCATTTGATCTTGACAGTTTTCCCTGTAAGAAAGTTCCTCTTATAGTCAGGTTCATTCCCCCACTAAAATAATGTTGGACCAGGAACGACTTCCAAATTGCTCTAAGCCTCTTTATCAAAGAGAGGCCTGGTGCATAACAAGCCATATAGAAATTAGTTAATTTGCTTGTAGCCTGTTCCAGGCATTCGGATAAGGAAGAGAGCGAGGAAAAAAAAGGAGGAAAAGAGGGAAAGGAGAGAAGAGGGGACACCTGTGAGATTTGTTTTCAAAATGTCATTCCGCCCATTTTGTCGGCCAGTAATACGAACTTAGTTTCCGGTGTTAAAAGTTGTCAATCAAGCAACAGGCGACAAACCGAACTGTTTACTGAATTTTTAAAAACTATGCCTGTTTTCATCTTTTATAATTTGTTTTCTGCAAACGAATGTATTCCTTACTTCTAAAAATGAAAGAACTGGCAAGCATTAGTCGTTCTACCTTCTCTGCCATTGATTTTCACTCAACAGACTAGCTGCTATCGGTTTTTGTTGTTATTATGAAATGCTGTTTGAATTTGTTTGTCGGTAAAAGCTTCAACACGTAGCTTTGGAAGCCGTGTTAAGCGAATAGAGATCTCAAAAGCGCGTCCCGAGACTAGCGCATTGGTTCCTTTTGACAAAAGCGGCTCTCAAAATATCCAGGTGAATGTTTTCACAGCCAGCTTTCAGGAATTTCCGGGCTGAAGAAGCTCCATTTTCGTCTCTTCTACATTCACAGCCAAGTCACTCTGTTAAACTGCAGTTGTACTTGAGTAGCCCCTAAGGCGAAACGTCCCTAGCGGCGAGGAACAAGGCCAAAGAGAAACGGCTTTATTCGTAGGCTGAACAAAGAATCGTGTCAAAAGAAGGTTCATGCGTCATGCGCATATTTAATATTCCTGAAGAGAACTGAAAGGAGAGACCTCGTTTAAAAGCCAATAAATGGTAAAATTCGGAAGCTATACTTTCCGTTGACGAGATCCTGCCTCAGAACGATTTCTCTTGTTCTACAGGGATGATATTTCACGTTAACCGTGTTGCTTACTTCGAATCACTTTACCACGCTTTCAAGTGTGTAATCTCATTACTAGCGCATCACATTTCCAATCAACGTAATGAACCTCTTAGTGCTGACAACAGCTGTCAAAATCGAACGATCATAGGGCTACTAGAATCTGGTATACCGAAACAAGCTTTTGTTACAAAGTCTTACAGGCATTCCCTCTCTCTCATCCCTACCCCACCCCCTTGTTGTTGTTTTTCCTGCTCACATCTCTCTGCCCTTTCCCCATGATCTGGGGAAAAAAAGGATGAGCACCTGGAGTGACTTTAAATGTTAACTTTCTTTATGTGAATTATATGTATTAATGGAAACGTACTTGTATCCTTCATTTTCCAGACACATGTAATTTCTTTTACATCTGTCAAGTAGTGAGTTCATCTTCTTCATAATATTATTTTACTGGCATGGGTTTCTTTACTAATTATAGGAAATTCGGTTGTTGTGAGAAAACAGTTTTGTACTGAATTATTTTGTTGTTAGAAGTTCTTGTAAATGATGAGCCAAAGGCAAGTGGTTTGGAAACTTTTATGAGTGTTTCTCTAACCTCTCAAGTGGGTTTCATAAGAGTAGAGAAACATTGATTGGGCAAAATTTGGTGTTAACTCTTATTAGAAGAGCTGATCGCCCTCTTCATGTACGGATACTTTTCAAGTTGTCATCCTTAAGCTGCCTCTATTCGTGAAAACTAGGGATATGAAAAGTGTCATAAAGCAATTTTTAGTTCTTTTGTGTAGTCATTGTGATGGGCAAATTGATGATGTGGTCCTAGTATCACTTTATTACGCTCATAGCTCAGTGGTGAGAGCATCCTACCGGTATTTGGAAGGTCGTGGGTTTGATTCCTTCCGGGGGTTTGGATTTTTTTTCTGAGCATTTCTTAATTGTACTTAAGATCTATTTTTAATTTCATCACACTTGAGTGGTTGGTTAGTCTCAAAGTGTACACAACACTTTCTTTAGGTGCTTGCATGATGCAAGTAAGTCAGTGTGTTGCTTTGCTTTGGTCTAGGGTACCCATGAGATTTGAAGTCCTGTGGTGGTTACCCCAAAACCTGCGACCTGCTCACCATGTGAGTTTCCCATAGCTCAGTGGCTAGAGCGTCCCACCGGTACCTGGAAGGTCATGGGTTCGAATTCTTCTGGGAGCTCGAATTTTTTCTGAGCATTTCTTAGTTGTGCGTAATATTTTCTTCTAATATCATTCTTTTTCACCAAAAACAGCATAGTAGTAGGCGTTTAGTCTCGTATTTTTCTTTATTGCAGATTTCAGCCCAGAATATGCCAATCTGACATCTAGTTTGACTGCAAACAACATTGCTGTTGTGAACACAACTTTCAACATCACTTGCAGAACTGAAGCCAATCCACCAGCAGAGTTTCGTTTCTATAGGGATGGCATGAATTTGTTTAACACCACAACTGGCAACAATATTGCCGTGTTTCCAACTTTTGTCAGTGAGAGAAAAAGTTCAGTGATCTACAGTTGTATTCCAGTCAATGAGTATGGTGATGGACCCACAGCGACGATCACAGTCACAGTTCATTGTAAGTTTACCATTTGCCTTTTAAATTAATTTGTATTGTGAGGAGACTCTGGTTTAGTACTTCTTTAGCCACAACAGCTGTCGTTACCAAATCTGTCCTTACGCACCATTTTCTGGTGTTTTTTGGTGTTTACTTAACGACTGCCAGACTGCAAAATACATTGTATGATACAAATAAATTATTCTCTTCTTTGAGTAAAAGTTATAACCGCAAAACAACCTGTGTTAAGCAAGAGAAAATTTATTTGTTATAATGGTTTGTTTTTTGGAGGGACGAAGTTGTACAGGTTTACAGGACAGTGTGTTTGTTTGTCTCCACCTGTTGTTTAGAAATCATGATTGAATGATTTCAAGCTATATGATACACGTTATGTGTCTGGTTTCATGTATGTAATTTGGTCCCTCTAAATACAATTTACTATCATGTAGGGCACCTACATTTCCGTTTGTGATTTTCACTACGTGAATCACTTCTCCATTGTCCGTTGATGGTTTCAAAAGCGGTGTGTTGTCCGTCTTATTCAAAGTTACAGAAATGTAGGTGGGAAAAGACAGGGGCCAACACTATGTGTCCGTCTGACACAGGTGTCCGTCTGATAAAAGGTGACCCTATGTCCGTTAAGAGAGAGATGACTATGAACAGTTCTTAAAACTGTTAATTTGTCACTTTAATTTTTATTTCTCTCTATCTGCCGTCATTTATGATGTGCTAGATGCATTTGATTTTCTGTGTAAAAACCTCAGTCTCGAAAATATACTGTGGGGCTTGCTAAATTTGACAAGTATTCAAACCTGGACAACTTGATTTATATGAATTCACCTGTAAATCATACTTGCGGTTTAATTGATTAGGGATTAGGGAATCGTGGCCCGGTCTTCAGCGCGTAATACGACATTCCAGAGTTTGCCTCCCGACAGTGAGTACCAAATTCAAATCCTCGGCTTTGTTTAACCCCCCGTCCAGCTGGTGTTTTTTACCATGTTGTTTCAGTTAGGTCCACTTGGAATTAGAAGCTGCTCGGAAGAGAAGTCACCAATAGTGCGTTTCCCTGACCCCAAATAATACTAAAACAATTGGAAGAATGACATGTCGTCGTTATCTACGACCAATTCGGACAGACCCTACGAACAGCTGCTACACTACCCGGATTTTTGAGTGGAGTGCCTGTGAAACAGTTTTGCAGCTAAGAGCACTTCCGCTTGTACTTTTTTTCGCTTCCATTTATGACATCTCTCACTTCTTTCATTCTGTGGGGGTGTGTGTGTGTAACGGGGGCGGGGGAATGAGGGGTGGGGGGCAATTTATGTTAAGGACTATAGGAGTTAAAGTGTTCAATCGCTTTGGTGCTCGGACTCAGGGTTTGGATGTGCAGGTTATAGCAGAAAGAGCCCACAGGCGTTAAACATAAATATGTTTCAGAGGGACTAGCTAAGATACGAATGAATAAAAACATACATCGCTATCTGAATACCGTAAAGTTCCCAAAGTAACGACTCCCGGAAGTAGCGACCCTTCCAAAGTAGCGATAAAATTTCACAGGTGTTAGCAATTTAATCGACTCTGTCTCTCCTAAAATTACGACTCCTCGAAAGTAGCGACCTAAAAAGTGATTTCTCCCCCTGCTAGAAATAAAGGAAATTGTAGGTACAACAAGCTTAAGCAAACTGATCCGAGATTTATGTTTATAATGATCATTGACATTCCTTTATGTAACTCAAAACGTACATTACAGCTTTTTTTAAAAAAGTCCTCCTTTTGTCTGT